TCGCCTTAGTGGACTGTAAACATTCCAAACAGGAATATGTGCTATATTAATCTACACTGGGTGCAAATAATTACACTATCTAGCGATGAAAAATGTTAAACGATATTCTTCCTAGTTGTACTTACGCCGAATCTCCGCTTGATTTTGTTGTTACTTCTAGCTATATTTTCATTCTTCCATATTTTTCCCGAATTAAAAACTTTCTAGTGATAGAAAAATAGACATTTACAATTAGGTGAAAAATGTCTCAAAGAACAGAATTAGTGTCGCTGACGCTGTAATAAGTGACACTGACTCGTTAAATTGGAATTTCAAAGAAATGGCATTTCACGTGCACCGGCTTAGTAGTATTAAATTTCGAACACGTGTTCCACTTGAATCGGACTTCTCTATCGAGCTGGATGTTTCGTCGATCTCGAATAAGCAAGGTTGCAAATGCCGCCATGTGGCTGCGTTTTATCGTTCGAGTAACGTACAGTACCGTTTCGCCTTTGTTTCCTGTGGGAGTGAAATTGAGTCCCTGTCGCGATGTCTGTTAGTGGGAATGTACGACTCGTTCGGTTTCGAATCGCTTTACCAACATGCAACAACACGCATTCTTCCGACTTCTGCGCGTGTTGTTTGCTCGTGTGCTCTGAAATTTATGCATGGAAGTGGCGAAGGAGGTCTCCATCTTGGCGAACATGGTTATGCTGGGACGCCAGCGATTTTTTTTTTTTTTTTCATTTTAAATTATAGATTTTAGATCTTATTGTTGGTATAGACATCAATCTAAATCGTGATCTTTCATTGTCAAGCTGTAAGATGTAAAAGTTCCTTTTGTGAAACGAGTGTAACGTGTCTCGAAACGCACCTCGAGATTACTCGAGAACAATAAGTTCCGTTAGAGGCAGAGAAAGTAGAGAAAATCATAGGTGAAACGATGAAACTGCGAAAACTTCTATCACTGCCCTTTATCGTACGGTCTATTCTCTCTCGGTTGTCACAGTACAATAGATCAGACTAAGCAAACCTAACGTCGAGATACTAGGACGAATTAAATCGTTCGAAAGCTATACTGATCAATCCTGTAAATTGAAAAGTATAGCGAAAACCGATCGTGTTACGAATATTTTTTAAAATTTAACTTTGAATCTATTTATATCGACGATTCTGTATATAGAATAACGTACGTATTAAATAAATTAAAATACGTTCTCGCTTCCCTTCGACGTTTGTTCAATTTCGAGAAACACGCGTCGATCCACGGCACAAGAACCTGCAGGCTAAAACATCCTTCCGTTTACAAGTCTGAAAGGCTGTGGCTTGGATTTTTGGAAGCATCCATCTTGGATTTATCGCGTCGTCCTACACGTGTCGAACAAGCTTTTCGACGTCTACCCAAGGAGGCGAGTGGATCTTATGCTAATGTTCGATTTGCACCGGATGCATCGTCCGGCTGGTTCTCTTCTGCCCATTGCTGAAGCGTGTTTCCTGTCTTTAATACGAGCAACGTGCCTCCTCGACGATTCACGTAAGAAACTGCAATAAAATCGGTTCCTCAGCGCAAGACTAAACTGTAATTAAACATAGTAAATTTACCAAGCTGACTTGTTACACTTCCTTTACCAATTCTATTAACAGATCCTTTAAACGAAAGTAAAACGTCCGAGCCTTAATGAACTTGTTTTCTTGATCTATTAATTCGATTAGTAGACTCTGCCCTTCTTTAAAGACATCCATAAACGACCCAATCTCGCAATAGATCTTCCTTTCTAATAGACTCATTAACAACCACCGGAAAGTCACCGGACGATTAAGAACGCTTTGAGAAAAAGATAAATTTGCGACATACGGAGAGAGAGAGAGAGAGAGAGAGAGAGTGAGGGAGAGACAGAGAGAGAAAGAAACAGAGTGGATGGGCAGCTTAATGGAGGCTAAAAGAGAGGCCATCGGAGGATCAAGCTGTTCGCGTGCATGCGGCGCACACGTGAAACGTCGTAAAATTAGTTGGCGCGAAAGAACGGCTCGAATTCGTGGCGTTTACCCTGGCGCATAAAGCGCGCGATAATGCTTCTTTTAAACCATACCAGATGATGCCTCGTCCGGATACGAGGATTTACGTCTGGCTATTCGTCGAGGCCACTCCTGCCGCGGATTTCCCTGCGTTTTAGCTGAGATACGATCCTCTTAACCTCGAGTAACCGTTCCCCCAAAGCTTTCGCGGTTTACCACTTGCCAATCTGATTTATCAGGGACATATAATGGCAGAATATGGCATTGCATCGTTCGACCACCGTGTCGATAGCCCGGGAGGACTATGAATACAGAAAGATGCGAAAAAATCCTAGTCACGGAGGGATTATCGCTCGTCGGGAATAGACGTCCTCTTTATTGGCCCGTGCATGTAGATCGTATTGGCTACGTGGCAGAGGCGTGTAGGATAGTTAAATTAGCCCCGAGTTTATGATACACGCGCCTCGAGACCGTGACGGGCTCATTACTCTGAGAAATTGCCGCAACGGGATGGCGAGCCAGCAGCTAGATGATTGTGCCGCTAATTGAACTATGAGGATCATCGATTGGTTTCTTCTCGATGAGCTTGCCTGCACATTCGGATTGAGAGTAATTTTCTCGAGGTGTAGATCCGTCGTCCGTGCGAAGTCATTTTCGATGAAGGAAGAAGTTTCTAAGGTTAGAAGATAAATATATCAGATATTATATACAGCGTTCATGCAAATTTTACGACGTCGAATGATAACTTTGTTTGCTATGGATCTCATAATCTTTAATAATTTGCTTCCACGGTCATTCCATGTCCGACTTTAATCGCGATATATCCTTCGGGCTATTTCGAGTCCAATCGCGTCTACCATCTGTAAAAATCTTCTTGAGCTTAAGGAAGATATGCGAGAATTGTTGTCAACGTGTTCTATGTTGGAATTTGTCTTAAAACACTCAGGATTTTTGTTCGTTGAAAATAGAATGAGATTAATCCTTTGAGTAATAACATGGTCCAAGCAAAAACTCGAGTAAAAGTTCAAATTTGATACTATACATTGTACATTGACATTTCTTCTGCCCAAAAAATTGGAAGTACGTATTTTTTGGAATTTGGTACGATGAATATAAGAAAGCTTGAAAACAGACAAATAATTATTTTCTAAATCGTTGGTTCTGAGTTCATCGTTATTTTATCATAACGTCAACGGACTGGAAACATAAAAATTCCGACATCGTATAGAGCTTCGTGCGAAGAGACTGGAACTTCTCCAGCGATATCTCCTTATCGATGAAGCGGAGAGTATCGACTTCGACTTGGAGATGGACCACGTGGTCGCTAACGATCAAGTACGGTGCTGAGACGCTCAGAAATCGATACGAACGAAGAAATGACAGTAGCATTGACGGGGCGCTGCAAATTCCTCATGAATAATTCATGAGGCCATGGTGCGTTGACGCGAGCCGCTCGCCACGTGGTAACTTTGTGCAACCTAGTAACAATTTCTTGCACCGAGCAAAATATCGCCGCCGGACAGGATCGCTTATCAAGATCACCGACCACGAGTGACATTTGTTGGGATAATTGAAACATTTCTTCGATTCATTTAACCGTCCAAGCCGGCTGTCCAAGATAATATAAGCGCGGTTATGTTGGTTTAGAAGTTCTTTTTGTTAAACCAAGTATAATATTTACATTATAAGTATTCTTCGTTTTTACAATTCTCTTGTTTTACAATACTACACGGTAAGATACTGATTATTTCAGTCAGATGAGTTTGAGCGTCTTAAAAGGAGCTTAAGCTTTTTACAGAGCGATTAAACTTGCTGCCTACATTGCATATTGCGAGACAAGTCTTCGATATAATAAGGAAAAAATGGGAAAATATCGTGTGCTTTAGATTCAGCAACAAACAAATATCATAGACTCGTTTCACTTTTCTAATTTTTGATATTTGTTTGTTGCTGAATCTAAAGTACACGATGTTTTCCCATTTCCTCCTTATTATATCGAAGACTTGTCTCGATATAATAAGACAATTTTCGATGAAGAACGATATCGTAAGAATATAAATGTTAAAAATTATAATTAAATCTTCAGTGTAAATCTTCGGAGGTATGAATATACCATTTCTTGCAGTTATATCATTTTTGGAAAAATGCACGTTACAATACGCGTTTCTCTGTTGAGGCCTCCACGGTTGAGAATCACCAGTCATTTCGAAGTAATATTTTCTGCAAAGAATATTCCAATGAGTCGGCATCTACGGATAAGACCGCTTAAGTAGTTTTGCCCCTTTCTGCGCGCCATCGCGTTGGTTTAATCTCCAAAACAGAGTTACAAAGACTCAGAGGGATCGAGCCAGTAATTCAAGCTAAGAGGATACGATTAACCCGACCGTCGCTCACAGTATCAAGCTTTGCAAAACGAAAAAGCCTTACTGCCAGTCTGCCTACGTAGATTCCATATCAATGAATCCTTCCATCGTAAGGCACGACCATACACCCTAATCCAGTATCCGTAACGGAATCGAAATCGCGTGCACTGGAAGACTAGGAAACGAATCACCGGTCGACAAAAAATCTCTACTTCATTAGTACCATAAATATTAAGATGGAAAATTCTGATTCACGCTACGTGCACGCCACTATATTCGAAACATTAATCTGGATTCCACTGACCGGTTTACGATCGTCGTGTTCTTAAATATCTCGCTCTCGTGGATGTTGGAAAATTGGTTGATTGCCCTGGTAATGTGTACAATAGCGTGTAAAAATTTAGGATTATGAGTAGTTCGATATTTACATATTGGTCAAATTATTTACTTTAATCTTTAGAACTGACTACGTACATGTAGTACGTTACTATGTCGCATATGTATCTATCTACAACGAGACTGGATTACGTTACTGGGTACATATCATTTTTTCTGCCTTGAGAGTCACCTGAGTTGTACATGCTTCCATTTATCTACAACGATACTCAACTATGTCGCATATAGTACATTTATCTACTTGACGTACATTTATCTACATTTATCCACCAAGCCATTACCGTTTATTTTTCTTCGTTATGAAGATCAATTATACCATACTAGTAACATGAAAAATGCAAAGTAGTTGAAAATGAAAAAATCGGAAATATCGAAAATAACTATCTATCCTAGATTTGCTACAAATGAAAAGATACAGTGCAAAATAGTACCTATCTTTATCAAAGCGTGACGGCAAAATGTTTAACCTATACATACACGTAAATTAACCATAATTTTAAAATTACTTTAGAAGGTCCAAACTTAATTACAGAAAGTTGCCGAAAGAAAAACGAAAGTTTGGAAGTAAATGAAATTTATAACAGCCAAGGCTACCTAACAACGAGATAACGATCCGCAACTTTTGCACCATGGTATACTAACGAACGACGAGTAAACCGATTTCGCTAGTCTAACATAAGCTTCCGTATCGGCACATGCGCGATCGGCTTACATCCTCTTCAGAGAGCAGACACGCCAGTCGTACAGGGGAATCGGGACAAAAGGAGGGCCATGGGAGTCGCGCACATGTACCAGCGCGTGGATGTACGCCATATTAATTACAATGATTTCCTGCCACTTATGGCCGAGCGAGATTTAAATTATAGATATCCAGCGTGGCGTGCTGGGGCGGGGTGCCCGGACTCACCATTCCTGATTACAGGGTGTACGCGAGCATTTCAGGAATCAGACTCGCGTCATAACTCTCGGGTCATGGGTCAATCTTTACCCCCTTCCCCCCTCTCCTCATCTTTTCAGCCCTTCTCCCTTTACCCCTCAATCTCCCTCCCTGCATTCTTCTCGCCCATGTACCAGCTATCTTCGAAAATCTACCGTCGAATCGATCCCCCGATGATTCGTTTCCCTTGGTCCTTTCAGATGCTGCCGCCATTGTGTGGTATGCGGTATACCTGTTCACGTGGAATCGGTAATTACAAGATTTTCTTTCTGTTCGAGCTTGATGAGGATCTGCTGGTCCTCTGAGAACGTCATCACGATCGTATAAACATCAAATGATCCATCTTGATGATCCATCATTTAGAAACGATGAAAAATATCGACATCAGTTTTACTTTTAGAAGCCCAAACAAGTATGATTTTCTTACGAGAACAAAGTATTTAGGTGTTTTAGGATCTGAAATTTGTCGTGGATAAATCTTTGTCCAGTTTCCTTGCGAGATAGTATCTTCCAGGTTTATTTACCGTACGAAAGCACAACTTTTAGCAGGGTTTCGAGCTTCCAAAGTTTCAAGCATTTACCTAATCTCCACACGAAGATGAGATTTTAACAGATATATAACCTTGATCTTTCCAAGATTATATCTTTCTTTAACTTTCCTATAAAAGATGAAACTTTTAATTTGACCTTAAGATTCTAAAATCAACATCGATACGTATGCAACTAAATTCTTAATCATGCACCTATGTATTTACTAAATTAAAATCTTACAAAACTATGTGGTTGACTGGTTTTTACTTCTAAGAGGCTCAAATAGTTAGTCTTACGATAGTCACAATTGTGTAATTTATAACGAACAATATAAGTTTGAATATAAGTCTCGCAGTAGAATAAATTCGGCTTTTAAACACGGTATTTCCTGTTACGATCCAAATCGCTTTTGTACGGTTCAAAAACAGCTTTTCCCCTTCGCACGGTTTTAAAAATAAATTCACGCGTGCTGGTATGAACGGAGCATTGAAGCGTTAAAGGGGATTCCTCGTCAAAGGAACTTTGAGCGGGAAATAATTATGCCGCTCGCGAATCGCATAATAATATGCAGTCGCGCGCGCGGCTCGCGTGGGTGGATTCGCTAAATTTCAATCTACCTTGGCGGGCGTAATGTACGTCAACCGAATCGTCATGCCATGACGTGCCACGTGACGTCACGACGCGTGTGGTCCCTCTTTCGGTTTATTAAGTCCACCCTCGGCGAAGAGCCCGCGGGCGCCACGATCCCACCGTACAAAGAACTCAAGGAACGCCGGTGAAACGGGATTAATGCATTAATAAAATTACCGTACCACGTTTCCTACCTATTCAATGCTGGATAAATCACCTCACGTAATGTTACCGCATTTAAATCGAATTCCTGGAAAAGAAGCCCGTCAGAAGTCAGAACGGAGATGATGATTCTGTTTTAATTTCCTAATATCAGCTACGTTTGAATTAATAATTAGCCCTCGGAAGCCAAACCGATCAAATCTTTCTTAATTTCTACGTTTCATCGCACGAGCATACGATTATTGTTCGATTCTCCGAAAACAAACAACTTACTTGACCGTAGGATCTCGATAATTTTCAAAGAATTCGATATAGCTGATTGATGAACAAATGATTGAAGATTAAAAGTTCCACTGTAAATTTGAAATTAAATTTGCGATAGTTCAAAAAATTAGCTTAAACAGAAGATTAGGAGAGATTGGACGTTAATATTAAGATCTTCCGTTAACATCTTCGTACGAAGAAAAATAACAATATTAAAAGACAGGAATACACCTAGTATGTCTAACTAACTACGAGTTGTCTTGAATCTTCTCACCGTTGGCTCGCTAATTGCGTAAGAATTGCAGGGAGGAGAAAATCGTGAAGCGCGGTCGGAACAGCCTCGAAGCGGTTAATCGCCTCGTAAAACGTTATTTTTCGCGGGCGAGCCACATTCAATTACCATTTTTTCCCATTGCAATGGAATTTACAATAGCCCCCAATTAATACGATGATAATTCGTAAACTTTCACGCAGTTACGCTATTCTTTATTTAGCCGTGGCGTCAAGCAGAATTCATTCGCAAGTTTATTATCTACGCATACCGACTTACATCGTTAATTTCGAAGCCACGCCGTGTCTAATTATTATTAATGCCTGACCAGAGCTTTATCGACTACAATTTAATCGTGCTTCAACTATACTTGTACTCCACCACCGCTATCTTCCTCGTCCCTTCTTCTTTGCGCCCTTTCTGTTTTTCCTTTTCTCCCTTTCTCTCTCGTTCGTCCTCCTCGTGTCCTGATCTTTCTTCACGGGGTGGAGAACCGTTTCGAGTGGCGAGCTTTGATTTATGGCGTCACGCTGCTTAGAACGATTTGTCATGGCGGTATCGTCGAAGGAGATTGTCGCCGTGCAACGCGACAAGCTTCACAACTCGAAAGTCCGTTGTATCCTACGCTTGGTCGCGCTTACAAATCAGTTCGTGCGCGAAAACCGATGGCAAATTGCCGGGTTCTGACGTCTTCCTTGTTCCGCTCCGACCACACCAACTATTTAGAGCAGGGAAAATGATGTTCTCAAGTGTTCTTCGCTGTTCTTTTTCTGATAGAAACATGGACGATACCGCAAGGATTAATCATTTAAGCGTGTACGATTTTAATCTCTATTAGAATATAAAGCGGAGGAGATACATAATTCTCGATTGCATAATAAATTTTGATTAGAGATCTAGATCGAGATTCATACTTTGTAAGCACAGTAAGTAGCTATATAAGCTTTAAATTATTCCAACGTAATGATATTTTGAGTCGAATCTAATTGCAGTTCACTTGCAGATGTTACGGATATTTGTACTTGCATGTTTTTTCCTTAAACTGCTGATTTCTCATCGCACGATCTTCAAGCTAGCAAAAACACGTATCATCGATCGAACCAAACGTTTCAGATCCAATTATACTTTTCCAATTATACTTGTCTCGAATCACCTGCTGATTAATACTACGAGTATCGATGCTAACATCCTTTGTTCCTATAAAGCTTTTTACCAAAGATAGCGCAATATAGCGTAATACAGCACAGTAACATTTTTCTGAATTGATATAGAACACGTGACAATTCCCAACTTTTGGCAAGTGGGAAATTTGTAGTTTCTCAGTTCCAAAGATATCGATAGTTAAATTCTTTCATAATTTCATCCACAATCGATAAAATCATGGCAATGATTGAGGACAAAGCCATGCCAAAAATCCCCCTATCGAATATGGAAATTTTTATCGATACCAAAAGATGACACCGAAGTTCAATGTTCGAAAGCATCTAGATGAGAATTGGATTAACAACCATAAGGATCTTACTCGGTCTCAGCATTTTTCGCAGAAGGGCTCGTTTGTAGGGCTTTGCAGTTTATGGGCGGTTGTTTACCACCCGGTAAATGTTATGCTCGAGTCATAACGTATATCTTGGAAGGCCGTGAGTCCCGTACGGGACGACCATTAGCCGCATTCAATCACCATTACACGCTGGCGCGCTTTCTACGCCTGCTTGCCCCTTAAATCCTGGCCAACGCCGACAAAAATATCGCCGTCGACGTACCACGAAGACGACAAAGAGGATAGCAACGATGGACTAGCATCACGTGTTTACCTTCTACGCTTGAGAATCGAAAGTTCTGACTCATCCTCCGCGGTCAAACCTATTCTCTCGCTCGACTTCCACCCTTGTTCGTGAAGCAGGTCAAAGTCCCTCGCCGACTTACAAACGAACAAAGTTCATTTTACGTAAGAGGATATGACGTTGGTTCGTTGAACTGATTCTGGCATTGATTCGTTACTCCGATCGCAAGATATAAAGTTGCAAGTTGATGTCGTTGATAGTTTTTTATTGGCAGAATGACGACAGTATTCGACTCGCTGTTAAAACGGATTCAGATCAAAGAATTAATAAATCACAGAGCTTCGAAGATTCAACGAAATACTACGTACTTGTCACGCAGTATGATCCTATTTAGTCGCAGTTTAATATTCCATTTTTATCAACTTACATGCAAGACAATTGCATTCGAGAGAAAGACCTTAGCATTCGACTACATACAGTTCCTGGTCAGTGAATTAGATGTTGTGATCGATTCCACGAATTCCACGGATCGCACGTAACAGGGACGAAATCCTAACTTCTGCGAAATTCTCCATCGCGAAGGGTGAATGTAAAGTGCTCCCCGGCGGCGGTTTCCGCCGAAAAATCTCGGCGAACAAGGCCTGCTGGCGTTCGGGGGCGGCGGGTAAGGCACGCCGGAATC